AAATTCCTGAGCTATATACACATATTGCAATTCGTTTTCCAGTATTCAAATATCTGAAACTTTGTTATCTGCTCGATAATGGATTAAAAAAAAACTAATATTTTTAAATTCTATATACATTTTTTTCATTATACTTTTCTAACTACTTAATGATGTTAAAAATTAATGTATGATTATTCTAATGCATTCACGAGTATTTATTAGAACCATTTACAGATTGATACAGTCGACGAATGGAAATATATCATATCGAAACGAATGCTGCAAGAATTATGATAAATCGTAGGTAAGAGTTGCCTGGTGTGCAGGGACTAAATCGATAAAAGAGGAGATACAAAGGTGGAAATATTATATACCTACCGTCGAAACGCACGTGGACATCACGTCGCTGCTGGAGACGATGAGAACATGATGATAAGAAGGTCGATCTCCTTTCGTATGCTACACGCGCGATGCTGATAATAATGTATGCTGATAGGGCGAGCAATATATTTTGGCGATAAATACAGCTCACAAAATGCAAGCAAAATGACACGTTCTGAATCTTTAATGCAAAATCATTTTCATAAGATGACAATCATGATTCGTGATATCTCTTGAGATTGATGAATGTGCTCTATCATTAACTTTCTTCCCTTCCACGGTTATCAAAGCGAGACTAATGACAGATTGTGAACTGATTACTTTTGTGCGATAATGCAAAAATATTACCTATTATTTTTTTATTTTTACTTGTAAATATGTAATAACATATTTTAATCATGTTGTTTACCATAAGCGAAACTTTAAAGTAATGCTCATGCAATTAACCGTAACGCATTTTTAATACAAAATCAAGTTGCGGTCACGATATTCATGATTTATGATGATAGTCCTTATAAAATTAATAAATTCTTTTATTACCTGTTCTTCTTTGCTTCGAAAAGAAACCATCCGTTTATAAAGTTAAGTAATTAATTCTATGATAACCAATCATCTCAACATCACACTACATTAGTTTACGATTTCTATCGCATGACATACCTTTTATAATTAAAAAAATTATCCGGCAAAATAAATAATGCGCAATATCAGAAGACATGGTAGTGTCTCGACGCTAAGCCAAGCGCAACGACACTACCGTGGTTCCTTTACGCGAGATACATGTTACGCGTCAAATAGAACAATATATATGCTATCCAATGCAGAAATCTGTGAATAAAATTTGTACAAATCGAAGAACAATTGCCTCTGTAGAGTGAATATTCTGAAATATTAAACAAAACGACAATTTTTTACAAACTATTATATGTATATTCAATTGATCTCTCTTTATCTTTCTTTTTATCTCTCTTTCTCATAACCACTTACGTACCTCTTCTTTAGATCTAACTGTCCTTTCTTGTAAAATCTTTGTCTAGCAGCACACCTTCCATTGCGGCACTACTATAGAAATTCTACTACTATAGAACTCGCTTCCTGTCTCCATCAGGAAGTCTAAGACATATTTAGTATATTTAAACGTGTACTCTTGTTATCTACGAGAGCATGAGACAAGTTAATTTTCAGTCAATTTAGTTTTTACAAGACAATGTAGTTTTTATAAGTCTATTATTCACAATATGACTATATATTTCTGTTTGCTTTTCTTTTTATATGTTTTATATTTTATGTATCATTTTTTGTTGTGTTATTATTGTCATATCATATTTTTAGTTCTTTCATTTTTAACAGTGTTTTCTCTTTTTGTATATACTTATACTTAGAGAGCTTGTCCTAGAATATTAATAAACGCCATTATCTATCTATCATCTATCTATCTATCTCTCTCTCTCTCTCTCTCTTTCCGATAGTTGCTGTACGTCTCGACAGGGACTTTTATTCCGGTTGCATTTACGTGCCGATTTTCCAGCTGTCTGTTCGAGGAAGTATCATTCGACGGTCGATCACCCATTATATCCGCTCTCGATCTCTATACAACACCGCCGGGAGTTCCCCCCACACCGTTCTCCCCGCGTTCCCCTTTCCGTACCAAGAAAATGAAATTGGCAATATCAATAAAGTCCAAGTATGCCGATAACATAAAGGTACCTAAAGGCGCGAGCGCGAGCGCACATTTCTTCACGAACGAGCCCATTTAATTTCCAGAGAACATTTCGATGTACTTACGGAGTATCCGCGCCACATACAGTAAACGAGGAAACGGCGTGGCCAGCTGGTGGCGAACGAGTTGGAATTGGTTCCATCATCTAAACGGAGCCGAGAGCAGAAAAGGGAACATACAAGGAAGTAGGAGAGAGAGAGAGAGAGAGAGAGAGAAGGGGGGAGGGAGAGAGAGCGGAGAAATCGCCCGAATTATCCGCGGGAACTAAATCAACCCGGCAACTTACGTAACTTTGTGCGTGGTAACCCCGTCCGCTCATTCGATTATGTCACACTGCAGAGGGAAGACAAGTCCCCCATAGTTTTCCCCAAGAGTCGCGAGAGTTTCCATTTCGCGTGCACGCGCGATTTCGATTTTAGTAAGTTTTCGCGTCGTACAAGTTCTACTCTTCTTGTAGAATGGAACGACATTTGCTCGCGATTGCTCATATCTTTTAATCACGATCAAATGCGTTTTGACAGTCATTTTCCAGTTACGCGACACTGCAATAGTTTTATACTATTAATTAACGAGCTTGCTGTTAAAACATTGCTTAGTGCATTAAGTTGAAGTTTTTCTCTTCAGAAGAAAACTCGTTATTTAGTCTATTTACCCAACAAATTTCAAAATAATGCCATAAAGCTATGAATTTATAATGATAAAATATATATGACAGCTTTTACATAAAATATGACTGCGTGCTGTTTCATGATGTATAACGAAACGCTGGTAACATATTAAAATCATAAATTGTATATAAATGTGACCAAAGATTTGACAGATAATAAATGATAAATACCATATTCATATTTTTCATAAAGTACGGCCATGATAATACTAGTGGTGACTAATAAAATGAACGGCGATACGTATCTACTCTAAACTTTGAAAACTTTATGGTATCCACTGATTGCTTTTTACGTCACGTTTTCGCAGTAAAATAGTTATAATTTCGGCATGATTGCGCCGGAATATCGCCATCGCGCTTTGCTTTCGTCGCGTCGCCAGCTTTTTGCAAGGAGTACGCGAGCAAATGATTTATGATTTGTTTTTTCGTTTTTTGCATCCGATACTTTCGACGTCGACTCCGGTTCAAAGCACCCGTTCAACCCTCCGTACGCACATACACACACAAATTTATTCCCCACTCCCTTGTTCCGTCTTCTTCATTTTTCGCGTCCTCCTCTTCTCACCAGTAGCCGTTATCTTTCTCCCGCGGCTTATTCCTCCGGGAAAAATATATTGGGACAAGAATGAGATTTATGAATCTGTAGAGCGAAATCTTGGGTCGTATTTATGGTTCAAGTGTTATTACCTCACTTTAGAGCATATCGAGTAACCATGTCTCTTTGTCAGTGATGCATGTAATCCTCCAGCAACGTACATTATATATTAGCTAACATTATTATTAATTTGTCTTCATTAAATTATGTTTATCTTTAATAAATTTAACTATTATACAATGTGCTCTAACTAAGATATGTATACAGGGTATCATCGCAAAGATCGGTCGTAAATAGTAGTAATAATTTATACAATATGGTAGTGTAGATAAATAATGTCCATATAAACTTATGTCCGAAAATACTTTAATAAAAAGTTATAAATGTTCAAAGAGATTTACGAGTAGAAATGTTCTCTATAACTCATTATATAAAATCGGTTGGAACAGTTAACACGTCTTAATCTATATAATTTTATTAGTTGTTAAAATGATTATAATCAATGTTCAAAAATCCTTCCCTCTACAAGTATGCAAGCTTTTATTCATCGAACTAGTGTCTGTCGAACTCTTTCTACTGCATTAGAAATAATAATAAAGGTATTTTGAATACATTTTCAAAGCTATATATATATATACACTCAAAAAAAGATAATGTAATTGTAAAGTAAAATTTCCGGTAACCTCATATTCTAAGCAGAAACTTTTACAGAAAGAGTATTCCTCTTCCAATGCACTGGACTATTCATCAAAAATATATTGGAAATTATTCTAACAATTTTCCTATTGTATGAAGAGGAATATATTTACTGAAAGCGGAGTGCCCTCTTACGAGTAAATTATATTAGGAACAGCAAGATTTTTACTGCAGATGCAAAACGAAAGTACTCTAACTGTAAGAATATTGTGCTTAGCATATTTTTCTCTCGATTTCAGAAGATTCCTCTTCAGGCCGTATATAAGAATAAAATCCTCTAAAATTTAGCGGTTTCTGCTAATATCAAAATTATTTTTTTGGGGTGTATATATAAGTCTTCTGTTTCTATCAGATTCCCATAAATTAACTTTTGCGTGGTTCCATAAATAGAAGTCAATTCAGAAGCATTAGATCTGGTGACCTAAGAAACTAAATGATCAGTCCGCCACGATCCAGTGCTGAGGGAATTGTTGATTATAAAAATATATTTCTTCCGAGGGGTCAACCACTATGGGAATCACTGTACATTTTTTCAGAAATATATTGTGGCAATACAGTAATAAAACAGGCAATGCTAGCAATGCTAGTAATACTAGCAATAATAGGAATATGCTAGCAATACATAGCAATACGTAGCAATACATTAACAATACTCGGCAATACTGCTCATAGTAGATGGCGATACACGAAGTAATAGATGGAGTATGAGATAACGGATGACAAGTATACATTTGATAAGCGTTTAATCAATCTTTAAATATATTAGAAGTAATATTATATTCTACTAGAGATAAACCTCAGAGTAATTATTCCGGCCTTTTCGTAAACAAGGGCGAAAAATCAAAGTTTGATTGTTTGTCCTTATTTAACCAACGTAATAGCATGAAAGAGAATCACAAAATCGTGCATTACTCTACGAGGTTAGGTATACGAAAAAGATCGGGATGACTATTCTCAAGTTTTCGCAATAAAATTAAGTGCCCAGTAAATTCGCAATAAAGAAGTAATACTTTTTATTGTTGAGATTATTATTTCGAATTTCAGATTAAAAATGAACGAATTTGTTGATAAAATGTTAAGTAATTACCAAACAAAACTACCAAATTATATAAAATTACTTTTAAACTATGCAGGCTATGACAATATTGCATCAATTTTAAAATTAGATGATAACCTGAGAATAACAGAATTAGAAAGATTTGCAAAAGAAGATTTAAATAAACTTTTAAATGAAAATGAATTAATAGAATTATATGGAATATACAATAAAAATCTGTCAGTTTTTAAGATTGCTGATGGACATAAAAAGCTATTGTTACATTTAAAAGATATCTGTGTCAAGGAAGTTGAAAATATTTCAAATAAATTTTGTATTAAATGTGATAAGAAAAATATATATAGTCCTCTTGTAAAGAAAAGAGCCAAAAGAAAAGAAATTACTACGAAATGCAAAGAGATGCGGAAGAAATAATTGAAGGAGAAAATAAAGAAAATAAAACTTGGCTAACAATTATATTAAAAAATGTATTAACGAGTATTGTGAAGAAAACGCTGAAGAATTTATTAAACAAATTGATAATTTAAAGATTAATATAGATTATAGATAGTAAAAATTATTGTGCAAAAATTAAATGCTGCTTCTGGGATTTTATTTCTACAGGATATTCGATAAAAAGTTCCAAAATTGGAAGAAAATGGACATTATCCAATTTTAATAAACATATTTTAACTCATATAAAAAATATTAAAAACAAAAAACATAAAAAAAATTATAATTCTGACAATAGTTTACTAATTACTTTCATTTATAAAAATACAAAAATCTAATGACAATTCATTTCCAAGTTCACTTCAAAGAGAGAATGAGATTCAAAATAACTTTATAAATATTTCATCTGATGATGATCTAATTTCATCGAGGATTTCATCTGAAATTGATCTTAATAGTGATGTTAGTTTGGTCAATACTATTCAAAATGCGGAAATTTATATTTCACCCAACATAGATTCTACAGAACTAGAAAAATGTTTTATTATGTCAAATACAAAATAAAACCAATGATGATGAAATTTCCAGTTTATTAAAAAAATCGGATTTTTATGAATGCAGAATTGTTGAGGAGGCTAACAATTCTGCGATATTAAATAATGAGCCTCAATTTCAAAATAACAGTGCAAAAGATGACCAGACAATAACGAAAACTAAAAGGACTTGAATTATTTGAAGAACCCCAAACCAAAATTACAGATTATTTCCTTAAAACTATAAAAATAGTTATTAAAGACCATCCTGATATAAAAAATACTTTATTAAGTATTACTAATGTAGAAAATAGAAGTAAATTCTTGAATATAAGTTCATTCTTAGATTGTTTAAGAGATACGGCAGTAAAGAACATCAAATACAAGAAACACGGAAACAAATTTACTATACCTTTAAAACTTTTTAGTTTATATATTTTTATTGTTGGTGGTCGTATGCTCTATGAACTTTTACATGCTAATCTACAAAATGTATTACCATCAATTACAACAATCAATAGATGCTTAGATGTTCAAAGTAATATAGTCGACGGGATTGTTCAATTAAAAGAATTAAAGTTATTCTTAACAAAACGACATTATCCATTGAACGTGTTTATTTCAGAAGATCAAACTGCAATAATTAAGAATGTAGCATATGATTCTAAAAGCAATAAAATGATTGGCTTTGTATCTTTATGTAAAGAAAATGGATTTCCTAAAAATGTTTATGTTAATTCTGTAAAAGATATTGAAAATGCTTTTTCAAATTATGTTGTTGGCTGTAATGCGTATGTGTACATGGCTCAACCGCTTGTTGATAACGTATCAGCATTTTGTTTAACAGTCTTTGCAAGTGACAACAAATTTAATCATAGTGACGTCTTAGCCAGATGGATGTTCTTAAAAAATGAACTTGAAAAACTTGATATACAAGTAATTGGATTTTCAAGTGGCGGTGATACAAGATGCTTAAAAGCCATGAAAATATGGTCTAAAATTCCTCTATCCTCTAAAAATCCATATCATCCTTACTTTCAGGTAATCCAATCTTTTCAATTTTTTAAACAACATTGCTAAGTTAAGAATGATGTCAACAAAATTAGAATCAATCAAAATTTTTATTTAAAAAGAAAATATAGAATACTTTTTCTATGTTTTAACTATTTCTTAATAACATTACTAACTTACCTTTAGTTAAAAAATGATTTAATAAACTGTGTAAATTTTAAATTTATATTTTATTTTATATGGAATTTGACATAAAGAAACCAATATGTATTCAAGATACAGTTCATATTGGAACAAAAAGATGAAAACAAGATTTTTAAAGCCGAATGTATTTTTACCAATGGGCTCAAAAATTGTCTCTCCAGAACATATAAAAAAATGAATAAAACAATTCTCTGAAGACAAACATTTATTGTGTGACAGTGATCTTGAACGTATGTTTAATTTACTATAACTGATATATATATCTGATATTGTATTATTCATCTAAAATCCTAATATGTTTTCTTTCAGCAAGAGATAAAATGAATTTTAACGCAGTTGAAAAATTATGTGCACCTCGAATTACGAAATTATTATCTAGTATTCCAGATAGCCAAGGCACTAAACAGTTTCTTATTTTAATTGATCATATATTGAATTCTTTTTTAAATAAAAAATTAAGAATTGAAGAGCGCATATATTTCATATGGCACGTGACATTTTTTTTAAGATTGTGGAGAAGATGGTTGCAAGAAAACAACTACAGCATTGATAAAAATTTTATAACTTCTAATGCCTACAGAAGTATAGAATTAAATGCACATGGTTTATTATTATTGATTGAAAAATTACGAGAAAGAAAAACTGATCAGTTTATACCTTAGTTATATAGCAGTCAACCATGCGAACAAATTGTCAGACAAATGAGATCTATGACGTCTACTTTCTCAACAATCGTTAATTTTAATTTATTAGGTATTTTGAGACGTTTAAATCGATTGTAAATTTTAAACGAAATAAGTACTGACTTAAGTAAGTTTAATTTATAATATCAATTTAATTCTAGAAAGCTAAATGGTTTCGAGGCTATAAAAAATTTCATCTATCTGGCTTTTTCTAAAGATTTGAATTTTTTTTGAAAACTTATTCCAAAATTATTGATTATTTTCATAATTGTTTTTTTATTGTATACATCACTGTTTGAATTTTCTTAAAAAAAAATGAATTATTTAAAAATATTGATTTTTTGAAAAGATGTTAAGAATTAAAGGATACACTTTATAGATCCCCCATGTCTAGTTTTCTAAAGTGCTTTTTCTAGCTTTCTAGGATTCATTACATTATACAGATAATTATAAAAGTTTAATTATTTTAATAATATATATTCTTATTTTAAGGAAGTACATTTCGATTTCCATGAGGAGAAAATAATCGATTAGGAATTTCTTCAGATGATGTTTTAAAATTTGATGAAATTTTTCCATCTACAGAAAAAATTTTACATATTTTGAATACTGCTAAAAACGATGCACTAAATATTGCAGTAGAATTGGAAATGAACATGAATGAAGAAAAAATAAAGGAAAGTTTTGAAATGATCAAAATTCGGCATTTCACTGATGAAGAGAAAAATAATGAAGAAGAGGACAATAATAATATGATACAAGAACAAAATAATGATATTGTATCTGCTAATGAAGAATTCGAAGAAGATTTTGAAAATTTAGAAAGTGATATATCAATATTTAAAAATCAAACAGATTTAAATTTAAAAGATTATACTAACTATACAAAAAATAATAAAGATTTATTTTTAAACGTAAATGTTAATGGAAAAAAATATACAGTATATACGAAAGTCTTCACTTTGTTGGATGTATCAAAATAAAACTAGATTATCTAATGATAGATTATATCGAGTTCGTGGTATGAACATGAATGTTGAGAATGTTATGAACAAAACATTAAGTGAAGAGTTAAAGATTAAATGTGAAAAATATTATTCTATTTATTATGATACAGGATGGTATATAGGAAGGGTGTTACATGTAAAACAAAATATGTGCAAAATTAAATTTTTGTGTACTAACTTAGATGAATTCAAATGGCCAAAAAAGATGATATTCAAGAAATTGATAAAAGATTTGTAGTACATGGACCGATAACTTTAAATGGTACAAATCCGTTCACAATTAATAAAAAAAGTACGTGCAGGAATAAAAAAAATTCAAAAAGTTCAAAAATAATTAATTATTATTTTATATTATTATTCATTACGTTTCTCTCTATAAAGAATTTATATTTTTATTTTAATATAACTTTAGAGTAAACTCGGGTATATTATGGCCATACGGATAAGATGGCTATAGGTTGTAATTTCTCTAATAATTTTTATAAGTAGAGCATTTTTGTAGTTATTCTGAAGCTTATGGTAATCATATCCATATGGCCATCTTTTTTAAATTAATATAATTCCATATATAATATACAGGGTGGACTAAATGAGTCTATAATGGGAAATATCTCGAAATAGAGGCATAATACAAAAAAATACTTCAGACAAAAGTTGCAGGGGGCAAAGGGGGACACGCAATGGTATCATTGACTTTGACCTTGAATCCGATTTTCAAGGTTATTTCGGAGTTAAAATGGTTTCTTTAAATGGGAACCCCTATTTTTTATCCCGGAAAAGAACAGGAAATTTTACGTACAAAATGGTATTTTTGTGAAGGTCATTTCAAGGTCAAATGAAGGTTAAATATGCGAAAACAGCTGAAAGTATGTCGACTGACATTCCAAGCTTTTACGAAAGGTTCAAGTCACTTTGAAAGGTCAAGTCACTTT